AAAACGCCTTAGATGTGTTCAGCTTGACGATACGGATCGACTGATATGCAACATGACCCTTTCCGGTCAGGTCATGACCTTGACCTGAGGTCAAATTTTCAAGTTGACCTTTCAAGGTCAACTTATAGTTCATTCGATGCGTCTTGACGAGAGGAACACAATGCCGGTAAAAGTAAGCTCGTACAAGGCTTGAGTCAAAAGTTATTGCAGAAAAACTGTTTCCGAAAAAATCGGCTATTTTTGCAATTTTTGCCTCCTGCAGGCAAAACCGTTGACGTTAGGTCAAATCTGAAGGAATTACTCAGAAAGGTTTTTAATAGGGCTATCGAATGCTCTTTTCCGCGGCGCTGTAACTCTATTGGTTCTCGAGTTATGCATTGGCTTCTTGGAAATTTTCGACATTCGACCTGGAAATCGGCGAAATTTTGCCTTTAATGACCTCTGGTGACCTGACCTTTGACCTGACCAAAAAATTGACCGAAGTGATTTCGTCATTATTTTTGACGCTCTTTCGAACGCCGCCTTCCGCGTATCGCTACGTGGCCCAGGAGCCGAGTTACAAGGGGGGGGTGTTCAAACACCCCCCCCAGCAGGGCGTGGAAATCCAGGACCCCCAGCCGGGCGCGGTAATAATCGTCACTTCGGGGTGGATAGTGGTGGGCCATGATGTGGGCCTTCTTATTATCTGCCTTGCCAAGAATACAAGTCAATCTGCAGATTGATTGTTGTCGTTTCCTTGTCGCTATCTTGACAACTCTCCTAACCACTTTAGCGTTCGCGGCCGGGCTGAGTTCTAATAAAAAAGATGTCCGAATAATTTCGTCACACCCTATACCTATACCTACTCTTGCGTGACATTGACTTTGGGGCGGCCTTGGATCGTAACTTTAACCACAAATAGGGGGTCTGATAAGCTTTAACCTGCTTCAAACATGTGCGAAGACTGCATTTTTGCGGTCGACGAAACTTGTACGGACATTCCGTACAAGTTTCCGGGCCTTCCAAAACTTGTACGGACACTGTCCGTAGTGTCCATGGGTGGAGAATGTTTGAAAAAGTTACCCCGGCCGGCGACTGGTAGTCATGGGAAAGACGACATGCTCAATAGTATTTGTAAACGGTTATCAACAAACCCATTCTCCGTTTAATGTAATAATGGATGTTGTGTTTGCTAAAGGATAAACATTTTATCCTAACTCAGCTCATTCAAGTCAGGCCAACAGGTCACATCAAGTGAACTCGTCTCATTTCACTAAGTTTCACGATAGTGTTGGGGGCCGGAGGCGTTGCTAGCCTTAGTCCCCAGATGATTTTACGTGTGTAGGTGAAACCGCGGCAAGCATTTGTGTGAAATTCAGTTAAGGTTATAATAAATCAGTTTCGCATCGTGGTTCTGAATTTCGCTCCCAGGTCACCTAGGGTCAGGACATCACTGGTCGAATTTGCTAGATAATCATGCTTTAAAAGTCTGCGTTCATGTCATTTGCAGAGCTTGGGTATTTCCTAGAAAGACGAAACTTTTTTCCACACAAAAATGTTAATTTTGAGTTGTGGCCCTCTTGAAGACAAACGATTGGTTTTCATGTTCACCTGAAATGTTACTCGCGAGCGAGTCCTAAAAAAAGCTATCAAATGTTTTGTTTGCAGTGTTCTAGGTCCTCTAAATCACAAGCTGGAAGAAAAGCTGTCAAAGCGCGCTATAAAAGGGAAAATTTGACTTTAATGTCCTGTGGTGGTTTTATTTTTGTGCTAGCCTAAAATATGACGAAAATTCTCTTATTATGTTTAGCGCTCTTTCAAACGGCGTTGCCACTCCCCGCCACGCAGCCCAGCAGCCGAGTTTAAAAGGGCGTATAACGCCTACTCTACCTCCCACCTCAACGTTTTCGATAGCGCCCCCATCCTGGTGCCAGTTTAGTTGGGGGAGCCTTAAGCCCCGCAGATCTTCTTCGATGCTACCCATTTTGTCTCACTGATATTACCCTAGACCTGTTTTCTTTTGTGATATTATTGTAAGGTGATCTTACGATAGCGACCATTGAATATCGTTTTATGTTGCATGTTGATCAAACTTATCGGGCTCAGCGATGAAAATATTTGCCCAGAAGTCCCAAACTCAAAATAAATAGATCTTCAAAAACTTTAAGAGGTAGTTAAGTGTAAAGAGAGACACTTTTGTAGGCAGCACTCAGCTTTTTCTCGGCTGGAGACAGGTTTTAGGATTTATAAGAGTGAAAAAGTTACCCCGGCCGCGCCGGGGTTGGCTGAAAGTTACCCCGGCCACGGCCGGGGTGGCCGGGGTAGGTTCTCCACCCATGGTAGTGTCCGTAGTAGTGGCGACGCCCATGGACTATCGAACATGTTAACCTACACATCTAAAACGAACTCCTGTTTATCCGTTGACTTTGGTGGTTTTCGCGAGGGAACCGATACATAATGACCATCTGACTCCCGCATCGCACACCCTAGCGTTCGCGCTATCTGGGCAGAAGAGAAAAGGCGCACGAAGCTTCATTAAAAGTTTTCGACATCGCAACGCAAGCAAGAATATAAAAAGACGGTGTGCATCGTGATTTATGCAAAAACTTTACTCAACTACGCAGGCAAATAGAAGGGCTATCACGATATCAAGTTAGTTACTTTCACTGATGATAAAACACAGCATGTGTACTGATTTATTTGTCCTTATCTGTGGCAAATGCAACAGAACATATTTTAAAGGAAAAGGGCCACCTTCGTGAAATATGAAGATATCGTTGTTTTTCATTTTGACATTATTATTTTTCATTTTCTTTTTAAAACTGGTGCCGGGAAAAAGTTCTATGAACTGAAAAACCCGGCGCCTATTGCAAAGCAGGGGGGTGACACCGTAATGCTGTGCCATAGGCCGATGTTGTAGCCAGCTGATGAGCAGGAATGACGTCATCGGCCCATGATAGCCCTGACCAATGTGATCCAACCCATTGCGACTTAAGGTGACCTCTGTGACTTGGCCTGACCCATCGTGACCCTGGGTGACCTCTGTGACCTGACCTGACCCAGGGTGACCTGAGGTGACCTAAAGTGACCTTTGTGACCTGAAATGACCCAGCGTGACCTAATTTGACCTTTTTATCTGGAATTCACCCATTTGGACCCCTTCGTTCAGCTTTTCGCGTAAGTACAAGACTTCTGAACTAGTTATTATCGCGTAAATGCCTTATTCGTGATAGCGCCGTGTAGCAAGCGGTTCACCTAGGTCCTAGTGTGAACGCGGTCACGGCTTTCAGCAAGCTGGCACGCGGAGCCCGGAGGTCTTAGCTCCGCGTTGCCGGAGCTGAGCGCCAGCTGGACGACACGCGGCAGGAATGTATACGGTCACTGGCTGGTCTTCATGTCAGCGAATGCCGAATGGCATGGCCAGCTCAAGCACAGGCCGCTGACTCCAGGCGGCCAGCTGCGCCTGCAAGCTGTCTGCCATCAAGCCGGTGGCGGCGGCGTGGCCAGCGTGCCGAGCAGCTGCACCGCGCGACACCGCAGTCGGCAGCGGCCCCATCTTCGACTAGCACCGGCCTCGCCGAGCGCCGCCCCGGCGTCAGCTACTACTGGTTCAGGTCGGGCACCATGGCCGCAGTGGCTCGGCGCAGTCGGCCCAGAGCGCGGCCAGCTCGGCCAGCACCGGCAGCGACAAGTCCAGAGCGTCCGTGGCACGGCTGACCAGCGGCAGGTGGATGCAAGTCCCCCCCCCCCGAAATTTGGTTGCATCGAAATTCGCCACGACATTCAGTTCCTAGGGCCATAGCGTTTCCATGCTACATGCTCTGACTTTGTGAAGCGATATTTCCAACGCTTTTACTTTTTTTGTAAATGGGCTGCACCTTACCCCATCAGCCCCGCGTTGAGGCAGAACCCACCGGCCAGGCTCCATCTGCCTCTCCCGCACTAACAGAATCACTTAATCAGCCTAACATAATCAGAATCGCCGATCAGTTCCGGCCGGTACAGCCTGTTGGTCTCTGAGCCGATGGCACCGGAGCCGCAGCGGTTAGCCAAAGCTTAGCAAGTGCTCCAGAGCCCCGTCAAACGACTGAGGAGGCACCTAGCAGCAGCACAGTGCCGTCGACCGTTCCCGAGCCGATAACCAAAACTACAATGAGTTCCACACAGTCACTATGTCCGCCGTCGATGAACAGTTGCCCCCTCCCCCTCCCCAATTCCAAGCTGGATCCGCGCTTGAACTCAGTAGTTGACAGTATTTTGTTGACAGTATTTTTGGTTTTAACTTCTATGCTGTCTAGCCACGAATGTGCATTGTGCATAGCTTGGCATTTATATCAACCCATGACATGCTAATGATCGTGTACAAAACAGCTGGTTTTGTGTTTTGGTCACCTAGTTTCTGTCTACCCGTTTGCTACGGGCGGGCCCACGGCTTAGGTACAGCAGTCGGTACCGTCGGCACCGACTGCAAAATAGAGAAAGTTGGCTGCAATTTTTTGCTGTTGAAAGGTTGCAAGGATATTGAGTCAAACGGTTAAGAGGCCGCTGAACGTTTATTGCATTCCAGTTGGATAAAATCGATCACGAAACAATTGGCGCAAACGCCATTCAGTTTCGCTGCCGTGGGTGGGCGGAGTCGGCGGAGTATGGGCCGATGACGTCATCCTCCCGCCGGCCGTGATTCGCCCCGATTGGCCGATGTCCATACCTGGTTAGAGGGCCTTGTTGCAAAGGGAAAAACCCCGCGCTGAAGCCAAAATAGCGCGGGGAAAAAAACTGAGGAGTATTCGATTTTTAGGAGCGTTCTGCTGACTTCTGCTTCCAAGACGTTGTTTTTATGACGTCATAAGCCTTCAAAGTCACTAATGAAAATCAAGGAAACTGGGTGATGACGTCATCTAGATGCCTACTTTACCCAATCTTATTGGCGAAGCTTTTTGTGAGCCGTAACCTGTAAGCAGCACCAAGCTGCTGAACAGTTTCTGGTAGATGAAGCTCTTCTTTGCGCAGATGCGTCATTTGTTGTCAGTTGTCGCAACTGTCGGGGGCTGGGGCCCCGCACTTGTATTTTTCATTTTCTTATATGTTGTAAAACAGTTTCTCTCGGGTGATTATGGGCAAAGTGGCAGATTGATTTGGTCTTTTTTGGGCTCTTTTTGATACCTAGTTCATTATAAAACAAAATGTGCAGAATTATGGCGTAAAAGACATGTAAAACTTTCTGAAACTTGAAAGTTGCAATGGAATACCTTACAACAAAAGGTGAGTTGTCTCATCCCTGCTTCACATTTTCCATTAGAGAAAACTATGATCAACATGGGGTTCATCAAAAGCCTACTCAGTGATTGCATATAGCAAAGCTCACTTTTTGCTAATGCTGTAAAATTTGTAAATCATTAGGTACCTACAAAGAGGACTTAATTGTTAGCATTTAACAACTATTCAATAAAAGCCAATCAAAATTTGCTGAAAATCTTTAAAAAGTAGCGCAACCCATGTCCAGCGTTCTTACTGCACTATTTTCATAAATATCTCTGCTTCAAACGTCTACTGGCTGGCCTACTGTTTTGTTAACCATCATCAGCTAGATCAAGCTAGATATTTATTGTTAATGCTATGTGATGTCATGGGTCCTTCTCTGATAAATGCAGTACATGATAAAAACTGTAGGCATAATATAAAGTATATAATTTACATGTTTCTTTGCTTAAGAGAACATCAGCCGGGCAAACTGCAGGGAGGTAATCTAAAATCAGATTAATCTAATTTGAGATTATGACGTCACCAAAATGGGCGGAGCGATGACCATATAAGGAGCGATAATCAATATTTAGATTATATTTCCGACATGTCCTCATTCAAACCCCTCATAACCATCGAAGAACTGCTCATAACCACGATATTTTTGTGTTGAGTGACAGACAAAACTTGATCCTACAGATTGCGAACTGGCCAGCACATTTGAGATTGGACTTTGGGAGTTATGACGTGAATAGTCAAGGTCACCGCTGAACGGGCAAATACATTAATCTATTTTTACTCCTTTTTATCGTACTCATTAAATGTTAAGAAAGTTTTTTTCAGCAGTTCTGAGATAAGAAATATTCAATTATTCAATCCCACTACGAAAAAATGCGTATAATACAACGCATTTATTTCATTTCGGCTACGGCGATTTACGGCCGCGATCTAGCTCTGTCCGTGGCGTCGTGAATCCTCTCGGTAATAATTTTTTCCCGCCCGTATTTTTCGATAGAATGGTGCCAAAGTGGTACCAAAATAATGGTAACATCTTATTTACCCAGCAAAATTAAATTTGGGTGGTAGAAGTGTGGCGTTTATGCGTTATTGGCGTACAAAACCGGTGAGTGTGTTGTTATGAAGGTGACTCAGCTGCACCCCCAGTCATTTCAACCTAGTTTTTTTTTACAAAATATTGTCAGGCATGGCATGTTTTTGTTAATTTTGACAACTTAGGACATCGATCAACACATCCTGAATCGTTTGGTGCCATTCATTATAAACCTTTGTCTGAGAGAGAAGAAATGAGTTGCTGGGACACTTCTCTGAAAATGTAAACATTGTATTATGGTGTCATATTTCCAGAAATTCTGAATTTTGATTATTTATATTTTTCCTTGAAATGACAGTCTGTCTGTTACTCTGTTTGTGGTTTGGGGTGCAGTTTTGGCTTATATTTTCAATGCTTCTAATGCTATATGGGTATATTAACTCGAAACTCAGAAGTATGAATTATTCAAAGTTGCATGTCCCGGAACCCCAGTCAGAGCCCAACAGGGCTGCAATACATGACATCATTGCGGAAATCAAACAAGTTAGGTAGTTTTTTATCTTTATAAAGTGTCGTAGGTCCCAAGGGATACCAAAACTGAGTAGCTTCCGTAGCTACGGGAAGTGCTACAGGAAAAGTCGTGGGACGATATCATTTTTAGGCCAGGTCATTGGTATTCCACATTCACATGGCATTATATACCTTGAATAGGCTTTTGAGCTTAAATAAAAACAAATATTGATTGCTTATCTCTGTGTTTTTTCTTTCTAAAATAGCTTAAATATACTTACAGAAATCCAGGTAATGTGCTGTATTTTTCTTTTCTACGTTAGACTGGCTCTATTTCCCTGCACAGGACGTGACGTTCCAGCTCCTTATACTGTCAGATTATAATGCTAGGGTTTAACCTTTATGCCTACCCTCTTGGATGCTAGATGTGTAATCGTAATTTAGATTAGGCCAGCTGAATGTAATCTAATTTAAGATTAGTCAGCTGATTGTGTAATCTAAATAAAGATTAGTCAGCTGACGACATAATCTGAATATAGATTATTCGCCCATTGAGGCTGGATTTTTAATCTTAATTTAGATTATGTTCCCCATCATATTTCAGGAACACCAAATTTTTTCTCAGAGCTGTTTTGGTGCTTCAGGGGCAGTTTGAGATGTTAACTGTGCTTTGTGAAAGAGTGGTGTGATTCTGTCACTCCTTGGCCACTACACAGCTGTTTCTGCAGAGGACTGCACAAATGCCCAAATATGGGCATAGAATAATATAACTTCTGATTAATCTTTATTTAGATTACCTCCCTGCAGTTTGCCCAACTGACATGATGAATGATCTACCTTCAAGTTATTTGAATGAGGGAATCTGGTGCTAAAAATAATTGGAATGATTTTAAGCCTGCATGAAAGGCATCATGTGCTACTGCATCATTTACACTGATTACTGAGGTACAATATATTTTGGTATAGAGCACAATGACTAAGTATCTGCTGAACATTTATATTTTCCATTACCCCATGGACTGTTGGAAAAAATAGCAGAAGTAAGGTGACCCTGATAGAACTATTCAGCAGAATTATGGGTAGGCCTATGCCTAAAACTTCAGTTCTGAAGTAATCCATGGTTTAGCTGAAGTATGGGGAGGCATGTGACTGTAGGTGTCCAGCAGCTGTTTTTTTTCTTGGAAGGACTTCCCAAAAAACCTATTGGCTCCTCTCCACCCACTATGCATTGAAATGAACTCTTTGCTTGTACCAGGCATCAGGAATATCACGATCAGAGAAACAAAAAGATATTAGAACCGACCAATGTCAGAACTTACTCCATTGCTGAATGCCTAGCCACTTAAGCATGCAGTTCTATGTTTGGGTTCTGATGATCTTGCACAATGCACACACACCGCATCTTGGTAAAGATTTGAAGGAAGCTTTTATTTTAGATCATCATATAAATGAAAACTGGAGGCATTTGGTTTTGTGTTCAAGGTTTTTGTATGTTATGTAGATTGTAGGTAGTAGGTACCTACCTAGTACCTACCTACCTATCTTGCAAGTTACCTACCTATGTTTTTTTTCAGAATGGAAGACTCAGATGACAGTGCAGTGAAACATGGTAAGAGCTGACTACATGTGTAAACCTTCTCAAATGAACATTTTTTATATAAACGTTTTTTCTCATGTTATCATACAAATGCATTCCTGTCTTTCTCAGAGTATCAGTATCAATGCATGTCATATTTGCTGCCAAGGTCTAAGTAGTATTGATGTGTTATTGGCATCCCCACCCCTGCCCCGCCTCCCGGCCCGCTCGCGGTTCGCGGCCCGTCTCACAGGCTCCCGGTTTGTGTGCCTGTGTGTGTGTCCACAGCCGCGGGGCTCCCGCTCCGCCGCCGATCGGACTCCCGAAAAACGACCCGAGGCCGTCAAAGTAGTGGTCCGCTGTCGGCCGCTCAACAAAACCGAGATCGCCAATGGATACGACAAGTACGTGGTGGGGTAGTAGGGTGGGGAAGGATGAGAAGGAAGGGGGAGTGAGGGGGTGTGAAGAGTGTCAGCAGCGCGATTGTTGCCGACCCGCCAGGCCTGGCAGCCGTGAATTGTTATTGGATCGGTGGCGTGTTGCCGTGTGAGTGGGCCCGGGTGACGGTGCCAGTCGCTCGATTTGCCGGCTCACACTGAGGAGTTCGTGACGCACGGACTCTGAGTCAGCTGGGGTAGGCTCTCTGAGCCCGCGGGGAACGGGCCGCGCCCTCGGGGGGGGGGGGGGGGGGGGCACCGAGACAGCTCATTGGGGCGTCAGCTGACCTTGTCTGTGCCGTTAGGAGCGGTCAGCAGGATAGGTAAAAGGTCACCCAAACACTGAAAATCAATTGTGTGTGCATTATACCGCCTACACACACGTATGTGTCTACCTAGTACCTACCGCCTTCATGTTTGCCTATAAGCCTCCAGGCGCCGTTTTTCGCCAGCCCGCTTTTCCGTCCATAGATCTATGCCGGTGGGGATCTTTCCGGCCGGCTCGCTCGCCCACCGGTGTTTTCCATTGTAGCTGCGTGTGTGAGTGGTCAATACAAGACCTGGCAACGACTCGCGTCCGAGAAACGCGGGTCGGGCTTTGGATTGTGACCGATGTTTTGATCATAGTTCTTGTGATCTTTCAGGATTGTTGATATCGACACCAAACGCGGCCAGATTCGACTGCGAAACCCCAAGGCTGAAAATGACCCACCCCGAGAGTTTACCTTTGACGCCGTCTATGACGAAAAGTAAGTCGGATGTGTCATACTTCTCCTGCGCTCGATAATTACTTGCTCGTCAGCATAGCTGCAATATGCGTTGTTTTCGTAACGCCGAGCAGCCGTTTATCATCTCCCCGATGAAACTCGTCTTTCCGGGATGTACCGTTAGCCGTTAGATACCACCCTGGCATTGATCCTTTCTTTGATGCCACCCGTGCGCTCGGGAGTCAGGATCCCGACCCGTTAGCCGTTTGATGTCGCCCTGCCGTCGATTCTACTCTATCTCTGGTGATTACTGACTGTGTTCTCAGGTCGCGGCAGGCGGAGCTGTATGATGAGACATTCCGCTCCCTGGTCGACTCGGTCCTGGCTGGTTTCAATGGCACTATCTTCGCCTACGGCCAGACAGGCACCGGCAAAACATACACCATGGAAGGTGAGCTAGCGGCGGGAAAATGTCCCATGAGATGTGAGCTGACTCAAGTCAACGAAAACGTACTTCATGGAAAATGTACACGATGGATCCTAAGTGAAATGGCCTCGGTTCAAACAATATGGAAGTTTATGCTAGACACAGTTCCGATAAAATATGTGCGAGGGCTAGTAAAGTAAAGTTTTGACAAGATGGTGAGGCTCGACATCGAGACGACTGCGTCTGAATCCGTTTGGCTGTCTCGTGTCCGGTCACTCATCCGCTCATCAACATCGATCCGTGCCTTAGTGAAATGAAATGGGGCCGTGGGCGCTGAGAGGTGTGTTCCGGCGGCGTCTTGGACCACCTGGTCGGCCAGCTCACCGTCCTGTAGAGACAATCTTCTAACACCAGCTTGTTTATTATTAAAACGGGAGCTTTCAGGAACGTTTCGTCTCCCTTCGTCAGCCAACTAAAAAAAAAACAAAAAAAAAAAAACGCCGTGCTGTGTAGTTCGACAGTCCGTCTAACCGAGTGTTCCGCCTGTGTGTCCGTCTCTGACAGGTATACGGGATGACCCGGAACAGCGCGGGGTCATCCCCAGCTCGTTCGAACACATCTTCAGTCACATCGACCGCTCGGAGAACTGCCAGTACCTGGTGCGAGCCTCCTACCTGGAGATCTACCAGGAGGAAATACGGTCAGTGTGAATCATGGTACTCACTATCTATCTACATAGTTAGAATATATGAGGAGGAAACACTCAGTACCTATTCGAGTGGGTGGCGGCAGTAGGCCTTCAGTCAATGACTGACAGAGTACTTTCCAGTTATCTGTTCACTGCCTGACCACTCATGACCAGGTAGTTAGATGTCTGCCGACGATTTCGTTATGCTGGTGTATGAATCCCTGTCTACCCAGGTAAACGTTGTTTACATGTTCTCTCGCTTTTCACTACCCTTCCTCTCCGTTCCGCCGCAGAGATTTGCTCTCCAAGGACCAGAACCGTCGACTGGAGCTGAAGGAGCGGCCCGACACTGGCACCTACGTCAAAGACCTCTGCTCGTTTGTGTGCAAGAGCGTCCGGGAGATCGAGCATGTCATGGGAATCGGCAACAAGAACAGAAGCGTCGGGTGAGTGGCGGCGTCTGCAATGGCTGACTGTGTGGAAGGAACTACCGCTGGGACAGACTATGTAGAGCGAGGTGGACAGACGGGAAGCTAAGGGATGCCCAAAGTTCTAATGTAAAAAAATCATTCGATTTTTCAATTGATTTTTTCGTTACTGCCTGGCTCATTGTAAAAACATTTTACTTTGGCGGCTTTGTATTGTTAAATGTCTTCTCGTGTTGGCTCTATGCTCTCTTTTTGTCTATCCCCTTTCCTCTCTTGGCTTTCATTCCCATTGACCCCTTGCTTTGTTCCGGCGTTCCGGCAGCGCGACCAACATGAACGAACACAGCTCCCGCTCTCACGCCATCTTCCTGGTGACGGTCGAGTGTTCTGAGCGCGACGCCGACGGAGAGACTCACATCCGAGTGGGGAAGCTGAACATGGTGGATCTGGCGGGCAGCGAGCGACAGGCCAAGACCGGCGCCACGGTACGGGTGACGGCAGCCGGCCGGTGGCTGGGCTGGGCTAGGCGGTCCTACTTTGCCGGACGGCATTCCTGGGGATGGATGGTGCTAGTTGTTAGATCTTGTTGCTTGTTTTGTTTATTTTGACGTATTTTTTAGCATAGGACTTGAATAGCATCAATCGTCTTGACCCAAGCGGTTTAAACGACGTGTTCCTCTCTATTTGTCATGGCTTACCCTTGCAGCAGGATTGTCGATCCCTCATATTTCGCCTCTGTCTTCCCATGTTTCACTCACACGGACTCAATTTGTATCTTTTCTCTGTCTCAGGGTGAGCGACTGAAGGAGGCCACCAAGATCAACCTGTCGCTGTCAGCGCTGGGTAACGTCATCTCGGCCCTGGTGGACGGCAAGTCGTCCCACATACCCTACCGCGACTCCAAGCTCACCAGGCTCCTGCAGGGTAGGTTGCAACAGTCCACATCGCTGACCGTTCTCAGTCATCCTGTTGCGCTTTCCAGTAAAAGTAACTACAGTGTCGTAGCCGAAAAGAGTCGTTGAAATATGTGGTGATCCTAAAAAAATTGATTCGTATAATTATCTGTCAATTGTTTGAAAGCTGTTTAAATTAGTGGAATGGCGTTTCTGTAACAGACCTCCAAAGTTATGGTGAAAGTTTGAAGGCATGGAGGTGTGTCTGAGTCAGTGTCCTCCGGGCTGAGTACCCGTGGATTAACACCCCGTCCCACTCCCATTCCCCTCCAGACTCACTGGGCGGTAACGCGCGGACCATCATGGTGGCCAACATGGGTCCGGCCGCTTACAACTACGACGAGAGTGTCACCACCCTGCGCTACGCCAACCGCGCCAAGAACATCAAGAACAAGCCCAAGATCAACGAGGACCCCAAGGACGCGCTGCTCAGGGAGTTTCAGGAGGAGATCGGCAAACTCAAGGTAGGTGAACGTTCAGCTGTGGCTCAGATGGGCGCCTCGTCACAAAAGCCTCATGGGATTTGGTGGCCAGAAATACTAGGCTCAGAGATCAGATCAGAGATAGGGTCAGAACTGATGAGGGTGCTCCCGCCATGTCGGGTTCATTGCGAGTGGACTCAGTCTGAGTTCGGTGGACCATGGGATTAGTCACAGTCGATGGCCGGAATAATTTGTTTATGTGTGTGTCGTGTGAACTGGTGACAAAACATTGGCCGACTGGCGGCTGGCTGATACCCAATCAGTCTAGCCATGGAACCAGGATAGCCAGTATGTAACTTTCCCATGGTCTCTTTTCAGCCAAGCGCGGTAGTGTTGTTACCATCCCCTGTTGTATGTACATACAGTAGCCATCAGTCGCTGACCCAGTATCCAGCTCTAACATTTGCAACTCGCCGCCAGGCCCAGTTGCAGGCGCGCTCCTCCGGCACAGGCGCCCGTAAGAAGCACCGCTCGGGCTCGGCGGCACCGGCCCCCGGGCCGGAGACCAGCGCAGAGCAGGCGGTCTCACCCGAGGAGTACCTCCGCGAACAGCTCGAGCGGGAGAGAGCGGCCATCGTCGGCGACCAGTCCATCATCGCTGAGGTCAGTTATAGTCCGTCACATGATATCAACGACGCAGGGTACTAAGGGCCATCTGCTGGAGATGTGTGATGCTGGGACTTGGGGCTTCGTGTCTACAGATCATCTGCTGTGTGTTGAGCGAGTGTAGGTCAGTCCATTGGCATGCACTATATGGAGCTATTTCGGCCAGCTGTAGCCTGTTCGTAATGCGCTCAAAACCAGGACCTGGCTCCGTACCTTCTTCCGTTTCTCCGTTGGCAGTCAGTACCCCGTTATGACGTCAATCCTTCGGCTCTCCCTCCTTTGATAGTGAAGAGAGGCTGGCCGGCCGCCGGCCAGCAGTAAAACAAACACTCAGGAATAGGATGATTTATCGTCCCCGTGGCCATGAATAGCCCCGGGTGGCATCACACTGCCCGGGTAGCCAGGGTCGTGGGGGGGAGGGAGGTGGGAGGGGTCCAGGGAAGTGGGAGGCCAACGTCCGGGCTAAATATTACTTGAGAGAGACGGTCGATACCTTTAGAGTGACTCATGGTAAACATATCTGACTTTCAAGCCTATTTGGTGCAAGATGCTGGAAGAGATCCCACGATGAAAATGCACCTAAATAATTAACGTTAGTAACCTATATCGAATTTGGTTAGTTTAAGAAACGATCGTCTTTAGCTCTCCAGCTTCCATTCCGACATGCTATCACGTCCGCATAGAAGTTTTCAGAAACTCGCTGTCGCCTGACCTGACATGGATCGCCCATTCATTCACTGTGTTGACTCGGCTCTCCTGTTTTCAGGACAAGGAGCGCCTGCTGCGGGAGATGCGGGAGAAGGAGCAGCAGCTGGAGCAGGAGCGGCTGGCGCGCGAGCAGCTCGCCTCGCGTATCCAGGACATGGAGTCCAAACTGCTGTCCGGCGGGAAGAACATCGCCGACCGCACTAACAAGCAGCAGCGGCAGCTGGAGCTCAGCCGGCAGAAAATCATCGAACAAAAGGTACGGCACCGCACCCCTCTGAACACTTTTTCAACGTACGTATATGGATATCATTAAGAGTTATGCATTTCGCTGGTGCGTGTGATTGCATGGAGGCGATGACCAGCCTCTGACTGGTCTGTTGTGACACGACTGTCTCTGACCCCAGGCCAAGGAGCGTGAGATGCTACAGCAGATCGAGGAGCAGGAGGGCACCCGACTGGACCTGCAGCAGACCTACCAGTCGCTTCAGCAGGAGGTGGACGTCAAGACTAAGAAACTGAAGAAGCTCTTCAACAAGCTGCAGGCGGTGAAGCGAGACATTTCGGACGCCACCGAGGAGTTTCACCGGGAGCGACGAGAGCTGGAGGAGACTGGTGACGCCCTGCGAAAGTAAGATCACCGGCACCTAGTGGCTATTACCTACTGTAAATCAGCATTACTTATCGATGTTTGAGTCGTTCAGGTGTTGCAGGAAAAAAATGAGCGCAGAGTTACGATGTTTATTCACGGGATATCTACGTTGGAGCAGGACTGTCCTATTGAAATAATGCCGCCAATAATTCGTGGTCAGTATCTGATAGAATATCACCCGATAGTCTTCAATCTACCAAATAATGTGTGCTCTGTCCTCGCCCTTCAGAGAGCTGAAGCTGAAGACGGTCATCATCGACAACTTCGTGCCGCCGGCGCAGCTGAAGGCGCTGCTGGCGCGCGTCCGGTTCGCTGAGGACAGTGAGGAGGGCGGCGACGGCTGGCTGCTGGCGGCTCCGGCTGTCCAGCTGCTCGACGGACGCCCTGTCAGCGCCACCGGCGGGCGGAGACCGGTCTCAGAGTACGCTCGGCGGGCCGGCGCGGCCGGAGGAGGCACCAGGTTCAAGGTGAGAGACCACAGGGTGGTGAGAGGACCGTGGCCGGCGGCTGGTGTTGGTAGGCTGGTGGCATATGTGAATGGAGAAGTTGGCGATCCGCAGACGTGGAATTTATGGGTAACTGGCTTCCATGTGCCTTCTATTTCTTCATTCTGCCGGAGATTTGAGTTATCATCCTAATGTCTTAATCGACTCCATTTTGCTCCTTTCATTGTTGACTGATGTTCCGTCTCTCCACTCTCAGGGCGAGAACATCATGTGTCTGGAGCTGGACTCGGCGGCTCGCACCACTCGCGACTACCGCGGTCCGTCGGTGGCGCCGCGGATGGCGGCAGCCCTCCAGAAGGCGCTCACCCCCACAGAGAGTGTTATTAGCGTGGACGCCTCGGCGCCGCTGCGACCCGATGGCTTCCTGCTCCGGGCGTCCCGGAAACCGGCGGCCGCGTGAGTCCGAGCGGGGTGTCCGGGGAGGGCCCGGTGGAGTCCGGGAATCCAGAGTTAGTGGGTAGGCCCCTGGGCATGCTGGCGTGTGTCGTGCTCAGTCCTCACTTCCTTGTGGCGATTACTACTTCCCTTTGCTCGGCATTATTTCCCTTACTGACTGGCAGCCGGCAGGGCTATTCCACGCTGCTCGCAGTCCCTGCCACTCTGCTAAATGTGATCTTCTGGTCGCTGTGCCTGCCTATCGTGATTGACACGACTCCTCTCCGCTCACCGCCAGGTCTCACTCGTCTCGGAAGCGGCCCCCCGGCCGGTCGCCGGACTCTGCACATCTCTACCCTCAGTCGCGCGGCCTGGTGCCCAAGTAGGGGGCGCCACCGCCGACAGCAGCGGCGCCGGCCGGGTGCGGGTGCTCCCCGGCGCCCCGGCCGGCGGACCGCTGCTCTGCTGCTGTGGGTCTCTCAGACGCAGGAGTCGGGTGCGGCTGTGTGCAGCGCGCCTCGGCGGCAGACTGGCGCGGCGCCATGAGCAGCGCCGGCCGCTGCCGCTCGGGCAGACCGCCACCGCCGAGCGGCCCGACTGTGACGACGACAAGCTGCGGGGCCGGCAGTCGGCGCGGCGCTCACCGACCGACGGCGCGGCGAACCTCACAGACGAGCAGAAACAGCTGCGCCTGAAGCAGCGGCAGGCGGAGCCCGAGGACGGCGGCCAGCGGTGCGTCCTGTACCGGCGGCAGTCCAGCGAGCAGTGGGACCAGCTGACGGGGCGGCTGCGCCGGCTGGTCAGGGGCGAGCTGGCGCGTCTCACCCACCGCCCCCGCCTGGGTGACCTGGGCGGCGGCACCGCCACCCCGCCTCTCCCGCCGGTCGGTGCTGGGGCGGTGGTGGCACGGCCGGCAGTGCGGGGCGCCGCCCGGCGGCTGCTGCGGGGACCGCGGAGCCGGCTAACGGCGGCGGCCGCCGGGCTGCGCCGCTGTGGGGTCTGCGCCGGTCTGCGGCCGCGCGGGCTGCCCGCGACCGGCCGGCGCCCGCTCAGTCCCTCCCGGCTGCGGGCCGTGTACCAGACAGCCGCGCTGCTGGGCGCCGCCCTGCTGCTGCTGCGACTGCTGCTGCTGCTCTGCGCCTGCTGCGCCCTGCTGCCGGTCGGAAGCTAGGTCAGGTGAGCCCAGTCCGCCCACAGGTAACACTCAGAAATTCTACCGGAACAAACTGGATCAAACTGGAAATTGTCAGCTCTAGCCTCTAACATTGTGGTGGTTTTTCACAGTTCTCACCGTTTTTGCCGCACATCACTGGTCACCGTTCTGGTTTGTGTTGCCCACGAGAGCGGCTGCGCACTGGGCCGCGTCCGCCCGGCCCGTCAGTTTGTCTGTCTGTCTGCGCGGCTCCGTCCGACTCTGTCGTCTGATAGACCCCTGAGGGGGCATGTGCTGTGTCCGGCGGGATTTGCCCCGCCCCCACCCTCCCCCTTGGGGAGATATGTAGTTTCACTCCACAAGAAGCTGGGGTTGTCAGGTGCTACTTTAGTCCCAAATCTTTGTATTGGGGCTGTAACTCCACATTGTGCAATGGTTGTGTGGTGTGATCGTTATGTCAGTCCTCAGACACCTGCCTAGGGTGATCTTATAGCCGTTGTATGCGACACTGTTTGGATTCCTCGTCCCTAGAGGAAAGAGATTGGAACACTGTATATTTAAAGGACGCCTATAACTTATTACGGGTGCTCGAGGTAGTTTCTGCAAGAAAGCAGTCACCCTTTCTAGTGTCTAGTCAGTTTTGATCTGATTTTAGCATATTTTTATTGGTGTTCTTTTCCCGAAACGTGAGATTACAGAAGACACGTAGTATAGTAATTTATCTGAGAGATAATTGATATTTAAGAATTTATTTACATTCATGTGTCATTTTTGTCGATTGAATCCCTTAGCAGGAGTGATATAAGTATTGAGATTCCGTCCGGGGCCTTGTGGAGCTGCCGGTATATTTTTGACGGCACGTCTGGGGTCAGTGTGCCGATATTATTCTCAGACAGACAGTCACATGCTGCTACTTAAGCGTGTCACATTGCTACTGTAGCAGGACTGCTACCGTATCTATCCGTTTGGCACTGACATGTAGCTGCCGTAGCTACACATTTGGCTATGTTAGGTGTGGCAATGATACGAGCAGGTAGCGGCAGCGCCCTTTTATTGCAAAGTTGGCAATATAAATGGCATTTCACTCCTAGAACCCACCTGGCTTTATTCCTGGTGTTAAAGTTGCAATGAAAATTGTGCTCCTTTTTCCAAAATTACTGGAAAGGCTCCTCTGAATGTTCCTGCGTATCAATGCGTCAATATTTATTTCAATCTACTTATCTAAGATTTGCGTGTTTCTCTATGAAGCGGGTAGTGACATGATGTGACATGACATACTCCTCAGGGGTGTATGTTTGTTTTATTTATTACGTCACCAAATAGTACGATGAACGTTCCGGTTTGTCTGAAATGATGTTTCCTTCTCCATATATTTACGTGATAAGACAATATTTATGTCGTACGTTATAGCTACTAGGGTACTTTGTTCCGTATGACTACTTTGTAAACAGTTTTACTCGCCCCTCCTGCGATGACTTTCAACTGCCACATATTTCAAGTATTATTTTACCGATGAGTTATATTGCAGAGTGAAGCTGTATCTTTTAATAGTCGATAGACACACGGTACCCCGTTCTTTCTCTGATTGGTGTTGTCTCATAATTAAAGGTATTGTGTTTCTGCCACGACCAGATAACTATTTGCTGTCGGTTGTTATGTGCTGTGTTGTTGGCCCTGTGACAAACGTTATCGACTTCAAAATACACCTTCTGATGAAGCTATTTCCGCCCTTTGCCTGATCGGTCACCACTCCAATCGTGCCAAACACCGCAGAAATGCTCGTGATCGCCGATCGGTGACGAGTGTGGCGCCACCTGCTCCACCCAAACTTGCACTCGCTGCCAATAGGGGGCACGAGCATCGCGTCTGCTGGCTTGTCTAAGTGAATATCGTGATAACTCCGAGACGAACTTCTTTTTGGAGAACACCCGATAAAATAAAGCTTTTTGCTACCATCTTCAATATGTTGTTAACTTGAAAGTATTTGCCCTATTTGAGCTTTTTCGTATTGCCCGTATCCGTTATATATAATGTAAGAGCTATTGCCTTCCTATGAAATGTAATGGTTAGTTTTGCCCACGGTCCGTTTTACAATAATCTCAACACTCAAATCATACGATCTGTGAGTTACTTCACTGGGTTCTTAGGTAGCTATTACTCTCGTGTTTGCCATGTATGGCGCGCATTTGCCGGAATTCTCTGAGCCCCCTTGTAGTAGACTGAAACCCTCGACCCTAGCCAGTCGGTGAAGAGAAGTTCATGGGACAGGACGGTGGCGGCTGATGTGGCAGCTGGCAGTCACCATACAGACCGCTGCTCTGTGTATCGGAGCGCTGGAACGGGAGATAAATGGTCAATAGCAAGATCAACTTACGGCAGACCAGGGGCCGTATTCACGTCGACTTCGTAAGTCGATTTTCTTTCGTAAGTATAATTTGGTATTCACGTCGACACTTCTTCAGTTTTTATCGACGGAGTTCACGTGAATAAAAAAATTAACTTAAGAAGTAGGTCAAACTTAAGAAAATTCATACGAAAAAAATGATCGACGTGAATAGGGCCCCAGATCTACACCTTTTGAGGCGCAATTTCAAAAAGTTAAACACCAAATTCAATACGTTCGCGTGCATTTCGAACGTAAACTTTTTGAATTTGGCCTTTAACTTTTGAAATTGCACCTAAAGAGGTGTAGAGGCACGGGAGCCTGCCGTGCTTCTGTCTGTCTGTCGGGAAGACAGCGACCCGCAACAGGCGCGACCTTAATGTCTTTTTATTTCATAATTAGTTCGACGATGAAATAATTGTTATAATTCTATTTACACGCCCCTTGGCTCAAGGTATGCAAAATCGGTTGTCTTATCAGTTATCATGCCAAAAGGTTGGTGTGACAAATTTAATGTCTGGTTCAACTTCACAATTTTCATTTCAAGACGTTGGAAAACTGGCTTCGAGTGGGACCTCCGTACGATGGAGTCGTTTCACACACACACGGAACTTTTAAAAACAATAATAAACCCCGGAACCGGTCGGTCGGCGGCTACTACTCGGCTGAACCCGTTTAAATCCGCCGTGGCCGCCGCAAAAACTGCTCTCGCCGCTCCGCCGTGTGTGTACGGCGTCTCCCTCTCCGCGGCTGTGGGGCGGGGCGGGGTGCGCACGTGGGCTGCGGGGTAAGGTGACCGCACACCGGGTAACCGATACGGATAGACATCGTCTCAGTCCGCCTGCGCTGCCGGCAGTGTGATCCTGCAGTTACCATGCGGCTTCCTCGTGCTCAGGGATTATATCCGAGTCGCCGCCCACGGCTGATATGGCCAGTTTGCATCCACGGGACTCATCAGGCTCCCTTGCAGCCGCAGTCAAATAAGGTGCTCTGGAGTGATGTCCGCGCCCCGGGCTCACTTGCCGCTACTGTGCGCGGCCGCGCCCCGCGACGGTGGAGTGGCACGGAGCGTGTGTCCGTGCCCGGGGCGCCCGCGTGTGGACGCCCGGGGTCCGTCCACCCCACGTGCTCCCATGTCCACACCGCTGGAGCCCGTCCCAGTGGCACCGGTGACCTGACGGCCGTTGTGGCCGCGGGGTATGATCGAAACTACAACCGACCGGCTGAGGTCAACAAAAACCGAGTTCACCGGCCCGCCGCGGGTCGGTTTGGACGGCGTGCGGCCCGGGCCGGTCCGTGTGCCGCCCGCTGGACCCACGTGTGCCGGTGGGGAGGGGAGGGGAGGGAGGGTCGGCCCGGCCCGGCCAATGGCCGCGCTGGTCGGACCGCCGCCGCCGCCGCCGCCGCCGCCGCCCGGCGGAGCGGCGCGGCGTCAGAGTGTGCCGGGCCGCCGCCGGGTGAGGGCGCGCGCGGGGAGAGAGAGCGGAGAGCGGAGAGAGGGAGTGGCGCCGCGCACTGAGCGGCTCGCACAGAGCGCAGTGAGACTGTGACTGTGACTGAAGGGAGTGAGTCCATTGCCGAGATGTCGTGTCTACCCGAGCAGCCCAGTGTGGCGGACCGGCCCGAGGCGCTGTGGCGCACGGCGCCGGCGCTGCTCCAACAGGCGCGCCGCTTCCAACTGGAGGCGTGCGGCGGACGGAGAGCCAAACGGGCCCTGTTCGGCCAGCCCGACCGCGAGGAGACCCGCCGCTTCGTCAAGGAGGAGCTGGCAGCCATCCGCGCCGCCGACCAGCAAAAGTACAACTTCGACTTCAGCCAGATGCGGCCGCTGGCGGGCCCGTTCGAGTGGCAGCCGGTGACGGCGGGCGAAGTGTCGGCGGCCTACCAGCTGGGCCGGCTACAGAGCGGCATTCACCAGCACCGGTCTGCCAGGAGACTGGACTTCGACGCGCCGCAGCCCACCTCCCCGGCAGACAGCCGCGCCGGTGCGGCCGGCAGCAACCCCGCGGCAGAGACCGGGCCGGCCGCGCCGACCCGGGCCGAGTCCCCGGGCCAGCCCAGGCCGCCGACCACCACCTCCAGTGTCAGTTCGTCACTGACGGAGGCGCTGGCCCGGAGGGCGTCTCCACCCCCTCAGCCGGCCGCCGCCGCCCCCCGCCAGAGCTCCATCTCAGGTAGGTTGAGGTGGCTGTCACTGACAGTACCGTCAGATCCCCCGCCCTCGCCGTCCCCGGCACCGCTAATGCTCCGCCGTTTAAACGGCCCCCGTCCCGGTCCTCCGTCCCTTCTCCCCGGCCCGAGTTCAAATTTAAATACCCGCCCGGCCGGCCGACCATCCGGCCCGGCCCGGCCGGTCCCAGGCGGGCGGGCAGGCGGCCATTGGGGCCCGCGGACGGCGCCGCCGCATTGATCCGCCACCCGCACCAGCCGAGGGGAGGGAGGGAGCGTCGACGCCGACGAGGACACGCGCCGCGTCGGCGTCCCCGTGTTGCCCGGAGCGTCCCCTCGGGCGTCCCCCGAGGGCGTCCGTCGGCGGGGAGCCAACGACGGGCGTGCCGGCTCGCCCGCCCCAGACACGCACACCGGCGGTGTGATGTATCGACCACTAACGGCCGCAGTATCGACCGCTAACGGCCGCAGTATCGACCGGCGTGGTATTTAAATTTGAGTTGAGACTGTGGCCCCGGGAAAGGTCGCAGCTGTCGCGCGTGTGACGGCGAACCGTTACCGCGTGCTCTGTGACGGCGGCACGTGTGGGCGGCCCCGTGTGTGTGACGGCCGACACGCTGCGGCCTTGGGTAGTACGCTACACGCCTGTGTTTGCCGTTTGTAGGTGTGACATGCTCGCCTCCACGTGTGGCTGCCTGTGGTTGAGATAGCAGGAGCTCTGCTCAAATGAGACCCGTCGGTCAATTGTCGTCTCAAGTGAGACCCGTCGTCCTATCGTCGTTCTCGTCTTCATTGCTTCCTTGGCGTGATTGAGATCTCATTTGTCGTTTCCTCTTCATGTTAATTCCTCCATCCTTCCTCGAGCGTGGCTCGGCGACCACGCGGGTGCCGCCTCCGCCGGCCGACCCGCCCCGATCTCAAGGTCACCTTGAGAGTGGTCCGAGTGCGCCATCTCCGTGCTGAGGTGGCTCCAATCCCGGCTCTAAGATAGCGTCTGACCGAGTGGGCCAGCCGGCCGCGCCGCGTCCCTGCGCTACCTGGGCCGACCGCCCGCGGCGCCCGGAACGGCAAATCATCTCTGGCTGTGGCGTCCGACCGCGGCTCCGAGCCTCCCGGCGCCGCCTTCCTGGTCCGTCTGACCGCTGCCGACCCCGGGCCGGCGGCCCAGATAGGTATTTAAACCTGGTCGGCGGCGCGGCGCTGCCTGGGCCCACCGCGTGGCTCCCGACGCTCGCGCTCACCACACACTGGAATGCGAGTCTCGGCGAGTCCGTCCCTGTGTCTGCAGGCCGCCAGGGTTGGTAGTGATGTGGAGCAGTGCACGACTCACCAGGCCGCGTCACTGGCAGTGATGTCAGCCGTGACGTGTATTGGTGTACGACTCACCGCCGGCCAGCTGTCCCGTCCATTTCCACGAGCTGCTAATCTGAGAATTCAGCCGGCCTTTGTGACGAAATGGAAACTTTGCCCGGTTGCCGTGCGGCCAGTTCCCCTCTGCGGAGGCCGCGGGAACCATTACCGAACAGCTGGCATGTGTAACTGCTTGTTTTCTTCCGCCGTCGCCAAAGTCCATAACGTGCCAACTGGAGCGCTGCGGCGGCGAAAATACACCCCCCGCCCCTCTCCCCGGACGATGACGTCCTCCCCCTGGGGACGATGATGCCACAGACGAGACGCTCCTCCCTGCTGTTTTCTGGGGATCTTCGTTCGGTTCGGTGCATCCGTCTCTAATGAGTGCCAATAAAACTAACACCCAGCGGCCGATGGGACCGGAGCGGGCACAGCGTGGGGACGGGATATCGACAGCTGGGGTCCGGTCTTCGCTCTGGAGGGGGTCGGTCCAAGACCCAGTGGGGACCCAGGGGTCCGAGAGCGTCCCAGATGGGTGGGTGCCTTCCCTCTACTCACCCACACGGGTGGTGGCGCCCGTAAAACAACTGACACCGGAGCTGAATTTTTAGCTCGACATGTGTGTGTGTGAGGAAGGGGGTGGTGTTCCTAGTGTTCGTCTCCCTCGCATGGTTTCGGCTTCTGTACCCGTATCATTATTCGCCCTATGTGGAAGTCGAGGTGAAAAGCTCTGTGTAAATCATGTTGGCTATTCCCGAATCGGTCTAGACCTCAGAAGGTCGTTCGGTATACAATGCGAACTGTAGGCACCGTTGTCGCGACCTTAAGCGACAATGTCGCCGTCTGCAGGTTGCCTTTTCATGAACCGGTGCCTGTATTGTGCGGATGTGAGCTGGACGGAAGGCGGGGGTTTCCGCCGCTTTCAGCGGTTACTGTGACGCTAGTGTGGTGCGGACGGGCCGGGGAGGGACGGTATAGTTCCGACGGTAGGTGACGAGCCGCCCGGTGACGGTGGTCGCCCGTCGGCCGGCCTTCGCCGCGTCCCATGGACCGGTTTCCGGGCCGGCTGGCAATTTGTCTCCGGCCGATGGCCGCGGCCTCCAATTTGGGTCAGTCGGGAGGATGTTTTGTGGTCGGCGCCGCCCCGCCCCGTCCGCCGCCCGTCCAGACACGGGTGGTTGACCTGTGGCAGGGCAGGCGGCCGGTAATGCCCAGAGACCGCTGGTTCATGGGTAATGTCCCCGCCAACTAGGTCAGTGTCTGCAGAGTGCAGTCAGCTGGGTCATTGGTGGCAGAACTGGAACGACAGCTCTTCCTCTCCTTCGGCCGAGTCCGCTGCTGGGCGCTGGAACGAGGAGCTCAGCTGCTGATCCTCCCCAAGCCATCCGGATCCGTCAGACCATCTTGAACCACCGACAACAGCCGGCGGACGGTCGATGGCCGTTGAGGAGGGTTGGAGAGGCTCTCCACTGCCCTCGTACTCCGTCCCACGGTCTGGCGTTTCTCGCCGATCCAGGACGGAAGGAGGCAGACATCGCCCGCCGCTCTCCAGTGGTCGGCGCCGGCCGATTTAAAGGTGCGCGCGCGCCCCAGGCGATAGACAGCGGTTCGTCGCCGGTTTTTTGTTTGTCGGTCGGTCGTCGTGCCGGTTCCTGAGGCATTGTTTACCTTCTCGCACGGCCGTGCGTTGTGAGTCGACCGCTGGCGAGCTCCTGGCACTGCCTCGGGCCCGGCCGGTGGTTCCTTTGTGTGCCGTCCCCGGTTGTGCCGTCCCGTCCTCGGTCGGACGGAGGTTCTCTGCGCGCCGGTGTGAGGGTGTGATCAGATCGGCGAGCAGGTGTGCGCCTGGCCGGACCGCGCCAGATTTATCAGAACGGGGGAGGGCCGGCGTCTCCCCAGGAGCACCCGTTGAGGGTCGCGACTGGCCGACGATCGGACGCACACCAGCTGCCGATCCGGTCCGGTCCCGGACAGCCAAATATAAATCTGGTCGGGTCGCGGCTGAAAGGAGGCGACACCAGCCTCTGGAGCCGGGCGGGGATGAATGATGCGGCCCGCCGCTGTATTGTCCACTGGCCACCCGGCACCATTCACCGGTCCCGGAGGAGCAGATTGACTTTTGAAAAACGGGGGCGCGCGTGGACGCCGGTCGACCTCGCGGCTGAAAAAGGCACCGCGACGGCCTCGGACGGGTTTTTGGTCGGCGATAGTAGCCCGTGACGCGTGCCCAGGTGTGAGTGGAGGCCGTGGCCTGGACTGGGTCCATCTCAAAGACGGCCTGATGAGTCGGCTGCCTCCCCTTGTAATTCAGCTCGGGTCCGAAATATCCTGTTTTGATGGGGCCGTTTTCATCAGTCGGACCCTCGCGCCGATCGTTACGCAAGACTGCCCTCCGACCGGATGGCTGGGCGGCTTTGTGGGCGTATTTTCGGCGTCGGCTCGCACGTGCACTTTTCTGCAAGTGCAGAGTGTTGTTTGTGTCGTGGATCGGCCGTCCGATCTGTGCAGTTACAGAGGGCTCGTGCCGGGAGCCGCCGCTCCGGTCCGGCCGGCCGGTCGGCTCGGCCCGGCTCGTGCCGTCCCGCCGCGCGGCCGCTGGGCGCCCTGCTGTTGCGCAACCGCCGCGCCTGCTGCACGGTGACGGCGACTGGCAGCCCGGTAGCCGGACCAATGACGTGAACAGGCCATTGTGGCAGGATTTGCGATCTAATCCGCTGCGTCGGTGCTGCCTCTCTCGTGTCCCCTGTCAAACGGAGCGGCTGTTACTGCGTGAGTGATATCACTGCGTCTGATCAGGCGATAGAGGCTGCCGGCCTCTCCCTGCTAAATGCGGTTACCAGTCTTCAATATGAGTTAAGAGACGTTTTTCAAACACTGCTGGAAAACGTGCTTTAAAATTCAACCAGGCCATCTCTGATGGAAATTTATCTAGCACAACATGCATCTACAAACGTGCGAGATCGCACTTGTCACCAAACGTCAGCGCCCCTGCGAAAGCAGGCTGCATTTCATTTTTTTTCCTGTCGATCTCCATGCCTCCGACCGCCGCCGTCTGCCGCGGTCGGTTTCTGCGGAGCAGGCCGGTCCCTCCGTCCCCCTCCCCGGTCCAGGCTCTGATTGTGCTCGGGCTCGGCGGGCGGTCGCCGGCCGGCGCCAGGTGGGCCGTCTCGGGCGCTCCTGTTTGCTCACCTGCTCGGGCCGAGACGCCGAGAAAGGGGTCTGCCGCCGCGCCGAACACAATGGCCGACCCACTGGAGCGGCCCGCTCTGCGGCGGGGCGACCCTGGCCGTGCCCTGGCGGCCGGACGTACCAGTCTCAGTGAGCGAGCCCCAAGGTCCGGCCGGGTGACGGCGAGTGACGTCCGACGTCCTCCCCAAACCGCGTCTGACGGAGCCTCATATTAATGGGCAGGTATTCCGAGCAGTAGGGCGTGGGCATAAAACACCGAGTGGCCGCATAAATAGTGGTAATCGGTGGCGTCTGCCGTGGTTCGGAGCAACCTCGCCCGTCTGTGCTCGGTGGAATTATGAAGGCGAGCTGGTCACGCGAGCGCTGAACGAGCAGTCCTGAATAGCTGCACCGAGGTATAGCTCAGATTGGCGCTGGCGATGTTCCCGGCTATATCAGTGGCTTGACGCCGAGTCGTTAACTACCTCAGTAAAACCCCGGCTCAGTGACAGACGGCTCGACAGTTGGCACCCGACTGCGGACGTCTGTCGCTGATCAGGGTTAAAACCCGGCTGAGCCCGGAGGGCTGTTCACGGGCCCTGTGTGCGGTCGGACCGCACACAACCTCGAAGCTCCGCCCACTGCGTCCCTACGTCAGCCTTCCGTCACCGCACACAGCGACCGCTGTGGCCGGTCGGGACTGGCCACAGCGGACCGTCCACCGCACGCAGCCGTGACGTCAGAGCCGCCTACCCATCCCCTACCCCCACGCCTGCTGGACGCACCGCACACAGCGCACGCAGCAGTGTGCGGTGCCCGTGAACACCCCTCAGGTCATCGGATCGCGAAGGGCGGCGTCCGTCCCTCCCCTCTCGATTGGTTTTTGAAGGGCGCACAGCTGTGGTGGCTATCTCACCCCTCCAAATCCCGCCGCACAGCCGAGTGTTGACTTTGGGCGGCACTTTGGCCGTAGAGGGATCGTTTTGGAGCGTGCGCCCATCAAGGAGGGTGCGTTCGCCGGCCCCTGTCCCGTCTCCTCATGCTGCCTTGGAGCGTCTATCGTAGCTGGAGGCTCACCCGCCGGCCGACACGCGTGCTGACTGCTGAGCCCGGAGGCACGGATGGCTGACTGGCCATATAATCACCTGCCAGCACTGATGACCTCCGGTTGGAGGGCATCCTCCCTACGTCCCCTGTGGCTGGGCGGAGCACCGATTGAGGGAGGTGCTGCATGAGAGGGTACCGATCAGAGGGTACGGCGGGGAGGTTGCTGATGAGGGCCATCCGAGGGAGGGGCGGTACGGACGGTACCGATTAGGGGAGGGGTGCACTGGGTGGATGCACCGGCACATCCGATGTCCACCTGACTCGGCGCTGCCCGGTTGCCGAGGCACGCTGCGCGCTCACCACAGCAGGTCGGCTGTTGCCGGGCCACGCTCTACCCCTCCCCTTCCTCTCACTATCTCCCCTCACTCACTCTCTCCGTGATGAGCGTCCCGCGCAACCGCTGGAGCTGTTTGGCGCGAGTTTTTGTCGGGCGGCGCCACGCTGCGCCCGCAGGCCCCGCCGGCGGCACAGCGGCCAGGTGTCGGTGCTGCCATCTGTGGAGCGGTCGGCCAACTAGCCGGGCGGGCTTTAATTTCGACTCGTGACAGCGGCGATGGCCGCGGCCGGAGCCGCCGGCGCTGCCCGCTGATACCGGTGATGACGGCTCGATCAGGTTCAAGGTCGAGCGAGTGGTCACCCCTGGACCGGTGCCGTACCAAACACCCCTCCCCTCCTCCCTACCTCGGCCCTCTCTCCCTCTCCCCGCCGCACCGGACCTAATCCGGACAGCATGCACTGTTAGTCATAATGGCCACATTCATAAGTTTGCAATTCAGATATGATCTGCGCAGACTGCAGGGCTGATTCACGTATTCATTGTTTGCGATTTGACTGCTGCAAATGCCAACCATTTACCGATCCAGTGTTTTGCATATCCGTGCAGTATACCTACGAATTACACATTCGCTGACGTCATTCTCTCTTTGTTTCAGATTTCTTTATCAACCGAAAGCGGACGTCTGCCGGCCTGTCATGCGGCGACGACTCCGCTGCCAAGCGTCGATCCAGCGTGTCACCGGCAACGAACGGAGGAGGAGGAGGCGGTACCTCTCAGCAGGCGACGGCACCGGCCACCACCGAGCCCACCATCTGAGGCGATCGAGGCACGCGCGAGGCTCGCGACTCTGTGTACAAAACGAGCTGATCTCAAATCTCGTTTGTTTTGTTTCGGTGAAGTTTATCGAGTATTTATTGGTCACGAAATCCAGTTCAAATAAATTCGATCTCAGTTGGTGCGGCGGCGCGGTGCGGCGTTGCTCGGTAGTCTCGTTCTCGGTCTCGGTTCTCGTCTCTCTGTCTCTCTGTCTCACTGTCGCGTTGCGGGCGCGCTGGCCGCCGCTGGGTCGGCGGGCCGCCGACGGCGGGTGTCCCGGGTCGCCCGCCGTCGGGCTGTGATAGAACCTGGGCGGCGACGGCGGCGGCGCGGCGGCAGCGACGATCTCCCGGCCCGGCCGGTCCCCGCCGGCCGCCGCCCGGCCGCCGTCCGCAGTACAACAACCAACAATCAGCGCGCACCGAGCCTGTGCTCGGGGCCACCGGCGCCGGCCGCGGGGCCACCCCCGCGCCCGGCCCACTGTACATAGCGGCTATTCGTTTGGGCATGTGTGGATTATATTGGGACCAATTACTGCGCGCGCGGTGCGACAATTTAGAATTATGCTTTTATTTGTATTGATTCAGTCTGTGATGTAATGTTACGTTAAGTCTTCCTTTTGGGGACTTCGATGTTTTAGTGACATCGTTGTTATCACACTGGAATAAAGGAGGCAAATCTGCACTGTGTTTGTGGTGAATTAGGGTCGGACGATGTCGGATTTTGTTTGATTTACTGCCTCCGAGATGCAGTAAAACCACCAATGAACAATACAAAGGAAGGCAACGTGAAGTCGGCGCCGTTTTCCTGAGGTCGTTGCTAACCAGGCCGTGTGACACAACCGTCAGAATTCCGAAGCCCAGAGGCTGTCACTATAAACACGCTTATTAATTCGATCACACTACGGTCAGATTTAAGATGATACCCGAACACTTGCTGAGTTTATATGATGTGGGCCATAAAGCGATGAATCACAACTATATATAGGTACTTCTTCTACCTTCTTCCAGCAATTAATAGGAATTAATACCCGGAATCGGCTTCCAATACAACGTCTTTTTATTTATTTCAATCCAGTCATTCACTACTCGGTAAAGCACGACCTTCACATAATCGAGGCAGCCAAGTTGACCTCTGTGGTAGCAGATTCTCACTGACGTATCGGTTGTCGGACCTGTCACATCGCTCAGACACCTGTCACAGATCGCACACCTGCTTCGGCAGCGCGTCCGCTATCCGCTTCGCACCATTGTTGCTCGCACCATCAGACACCTGCTCATTGTAGATACCCCTGAAACGGAACGCATTCAGTCACACATTGACGGCTGGTCCTGTCATGCCAACCGCGTGCATCGGTGCCCACAATCGTTCGTGGTGTGATTTTCGCACCGACAACTCACAGCAAGTTGAATCTCTGGGTACGTTAGCACCTATCATACACATCATATCACGTCGAAAGGGTGAAGGGGGATATCAGAGGGGTGATGCCGCACAACATGCTACAAAGAGGTGCATAATTTTTTTATTAATAGGGTCGATGTTATATTAAAGCCCTTGACGCCGTCTGTGACTCTGTATATTAATTTACGATAGCAATATTAAGTTTAAGGACAAAAGGCTTCAAGGTTGTTGCAGGTCAGACTGGCAGTGCTCACAGTACTTCGGAAGTCTTGCACCACCTGTAACCCTTTAGACTTTAGCTGTTGGAGGGGGCCGTCTTCCAGAGAAAGATTGCTGATTGTTTAATCGTCGTCGCGCTAGGGATATAGCTTCAGTATTTTTTCTCTTTTACAGAGTACCGTTCACATTATCCGTTTAATTGTTTATTGTCATCGGCCTTACGATCATACAAAACTGTTCAGACAATTGTTTGGGACGTCTGACGGGCAGGCAGTTCGTGATCTTGACTTATCTGGTTTGCAAGCCGTTTTGTTTCTGAGCTTCCTCGTTAATTTATCTGTATCCATGAAAAACTGAATGCTTATATTTTTCATAAGTAGGTATATTGAACAAAACGAGTGGCGAAAGTCGAAGTAAAAGACGTCCTCAGTCCTGTGCGCGCTTCTCTGGTAGGTCTTTCACCCGTTGGTTCTTTCCTATCCCCTTCCGCCTCTCACTGCCACCCTCCGGTTCCAATCGGCCTCCCTGGCGTCTCTCTGTTCCTCTACCCGTTCTCCTTTCCTCCTCCTTTCCTCTCTCTCTCTCTCCTCCCTTCGCGGGCCGGTGAGCGCCTGGTGACAGCGTCCGCACCATGGCCTTGTCCCACCCGGCTAACCCATATAGGCTAACGGTCGGCCTGGGACACTTTCCCCCTTTTAAATTCAAACGGCGCCCGGTCGGTCCGGCGGCTGCGGTCGGCGCATAAACAGAGCGACCCGGTGAGACGCGCCAGGGCGGCGTCCTGTCAGCGGCTGATCCACGGCCGCTGCGCCAGGCGCGGTCACGAGCGGACCGACCCGGGGCAGACGCCAGCCGGTCGCAGCTCTCTCGTAAACATGTAGTGACCAACGGTCGGCCGGCCCGCGCCGAGAGGCGACGCCACTTTCTCCCCGGCTGGCTGACGCCGGTCAGCCAGCAGCCCGCCCGTCAAGATGCATTTGTAAGACCTCGCTGGTCTCCGGATAGATAGATGGTTTAGTTTAGACGGCACCGACATGGGCAGACTGAATTGGAGCTGAAGTAGTGGAAAGTCCACTGGCCCAGTTAGCTGGAGGTAATTTGTTTTCAACTTGTTAAAATGCGGTGAAGAAGGATTAGGAATGGCGGGAGCATTATAGGTAACTAAACGAATAAAAAGCAGAACAGTTTTTATCACATTGCATTTTATCTTCATTAGCATACACATTTTTGAAATATGGGTACGAAACAAAATTCATCGCATATAGCCAAAAAACTTGGCATTATTCATGTAAGCAAGATGGCCTTCGTCGCAGCTCAAAGAGTCAGGTACATCAGCAAAGCGGGCATGCTAAATGCTTAGGGCGTGCTGCTGATTGTAAACGAAGCTCAAATTTGGAAAGGAGAGCCGACCAGGAGCCGACAGAAAATATATCTTTTGAGTGTTTGTGAAGCCCCTCGCTGCATAACCCGTGCCTCAGTGCCTGCAGTTATTTTGTTGCCATCGCAAATGTTGCTGATTTGATTTCAATTATACGATGAAAAGAAAAAGCATGAAAAATAAAGGGGTAGGCCAGTGATCACGTCAAACAACATGCGTTTCGCTTATTACCTATTATGGCATCATTAACCGTGCCATTTAAATGCACCTATATACCAATTCCGCCCACGCAGGTGAACCCGGGAGATAATCAGCTGACTGCAAAGCGCCCCGGGGTGCGATCACGTGACGGAGGCCTCGGGCGGTCAACGGGCGGCGGCCGCCTGAAGCAAGGGTCGGTTGTGCGTAAAACGGGCAGTAAGACTAAGCACAGGCGAAAGGAGGGACGGTAACGCGTTGGCAGTGATGGGAAACGTTGAGACCAGTGTCAGTGTGGGATTTGGGCATATCTCCACAACTAGCTGAGCGCATGACTACCCATTATGATAACTGGACTTTTGAATGGATCCAAGAAGGAAAACAGTCATGCTATGCTGAACTACAGCCACCATTGGATTGGAGCCTTTTCTAAGGTAGGTCCCAGAAGGCATGACATTCGGATAAAACTCACAGGAACCGTAATCCGATTCGAAGTCCCGTTTAATATCTGCTGCTCGTTCATATGATAGATCTAGGACATCCGGTATAAACAGAACCGTTTCTCGACTTGAGTTTCCGGTGCCGGGTGCGGACCACGTGAGGCTATGAGTGGAACCATATAGGTCTGTCACCAGACGTAATGGTAAAAAATGCTGAACTCGTAAGTTCAACGAGGACAGCAAGTCACATGCTGTCATGAATCATGTGGCACTGCATGCCATCACATGAGGAAGAGGAAACTGCTCAGTGCTCAGCCTCGTGCTGTATTCTAGACGGTGCACTGTGAGCACATTCCCCTTGATATTCTGGGATCATGTATGTCTCACGTGTGGGGCCGGAGGAGGTTTCAGTGGCTCGTGATCGAACAGAGCATGTGAGGATTGAGAAATTCGCAGCACACAGGCTACCGCAGACCACCTTTGCAGTGGGGCCAATATAGTTTTATAGAGTTGTTTATAGACACCTGATCTGCGCTGGGCTCAGCAGTCGGCTTCTACTGATTTGTTTAATTTCCAGATACAATAATTATTAAAAAGAAAAAATGTGGAAGATTTACAGATCATGATGAAAAAACTAGCAGCCTTCATGTTTTTATCATTGTTCTACCACCAAGTGTACAATAGCACGGGGTGCGTGTTTGGCCGCTCTGGCATCCGCCGGAAGGTGCGGCTCGCACGTGGCCACCCCCAGACCGTCTCCCCCCCCCTCCTCCCGCGGCGGGGCAGGTATACGGAGCGGGCTCCTTCTATAGCAGCTTCCTGTCCACGTGCGCCGAGCGTCCCCGACAAAAAGGAGCATCCGGCGGCGGCGGCGACTGCCCGCTGCGAACTGGCCCTCCTGCGGTCGGGTGGGCTCCCCAAATTACAGCCCCCGGCGAACAGCACGCCGGAGCTCACCGCCAGCCCGAGACCGAGGGGGGACTGAGACTGGAGAACTGAAACAGGGGACCGATACCTGAGGGGGTGAGCGCAACCGAGCGCACCTCCGGGAACGGGGCTGGTCGAACTATGGACAGGATGTTGTAACTGACCGGACTTGCACCTTCGGACGGGCGCGCATTTCGGCCGGATTATATCAGGATTGGACGGGTTTTATCTGGACTAAAAGGGGACTCTATTGGGGCACGACAGGATCGGAAGGGGTTTTACCGGGGCCGGATGGAGTTCTACGATAAAGGTAAACGAGTTTTAACGCTTTGATTATCAGCGTCATAAGCCTTAGAGAGCAAGTTATAGAGAATTGAGTAATGATGTTGAGCAGATGGAAGCTGGGAACCCGGACGACCGCTCAGCTCGATGTCGGTGCACGGGCGGAGGACTGGTGCCACGTCGGCACCTCAGCTCCGTAGGAGGTGCCCGTTTACACCGCGCCACCATCGTCCGCCTCGTGACGGGCGGTCATATTGGATCGGCCCGATCATGAGCAGCAAATCAACTCCGTAATGAGATGGGAATTATCTCAAACAATCTCCACGTCGCCGAATTTAAATGCCGCTTTATTTTCCGCACAGCGTACGATACCGTGTCATTATTTTGATTTACATCGGCGTTTCTCCAGTGGTTCTCTATCTGAATTTCGCTGTGATGACGTTTGATGAATCGATAGGCGAGGCCGTATATCTCATGGCTTGTTCATTAATGCCACAGCGATAATTGCCTTACATTGAGCTCTAAGGGAGACCATGAAAATAATAAATGAGCATGCGTTGTTTTAATAGCAAGTTTGGTGCAGACAGAACATCAATAATCGGGCATGTCTGTATAGTAATTAAACTTTTCAATGTCAAACTTTTCAATCTTTGCGATTAACACAGCATTTAAATAGTCTACCTTCAACGCTAAATGCCAGCAATGCCTTTAATGATATGCTCAAGAGGGGTTGTTATGCTTGCGTAACTAATTATTTTGATACTCATCCGATAACTTCGGTTACAATACAACAATCTTCCTCAGAAGCAAAGCAATATTAGGTAGGTATAGAAGGCG